TCTCTACTTCCTTTATTGTAGAGAATTGGTGCAACCTGTAATTAATGTGGATAAATAAGGGTCCAAAATATAAGGCCATTGGAGGGGACAGGTAAGGTGTCCCCCTCCTATTGCATATTGAGCTGGCATTACCAACTCATTATGCAATAGAGAGGGGACAACTCACATGTCCCCTCCCTTCTCTCTACTTCCTTTATTGTAGAGAATTGGTGCAACCTGTAATTAATGTGGATAAATAAGGGTCCAAAATATAAGGCCATTGGAGGGGACAGGTAAGGTGTCCCCCTCCTATTGCATATTGAGCTGGCATTACCAACTCATTATGCAATAGAGAGGGGACAACTCACATGTCCCCTCCATTCGTCCCATATTTTGGATGCTTAAGTTATTTTTCATCTTAGTTTTTTAGGAGAACGAAACATCTTATTAGCTACGATTGCAAGGTGAACGTTAACTACATTGCAATTGTAATTAATGAGATTCTTTCTTCTTCTTCTTTTTTTGTGTGCGCGGCAGCTGTGTGAGCGGCAGCTGTGTGAGAGCGCTTGTGACTGAAGAGACTCTCCTCCAAGCAAATGCTGAGGAAGATTTCTTTTTTAAGTATCTAGATCACAGTGATTTATGTTGCCTTTGAAGGAGAGTGGTCTACAAAGAAGTATTAGTACTATCAATTTATATATATTTACTGGCTAAATTATCAAATACGTATGCTTAGTACCATATTCTTACCAGTTTGGTATTTTCAGTTTCTACGGCAATATTAAGCTAATCATGCCAAATTATTTCTGTAGCAATAAAAATACCAAATTAGAAAAGGGGTCCTAATAAAAATACTAATTTGGTAATTTAGCCAAAATTCAATATTAATGATTTAAAGTTACCAGAGAAACTGAAAATCTCAAATCGAAAAGTATGTACTGATAAATACCAATTTGATAAATATGGTAATTTAGCCTATATTTACCAGAGTTTTAATCATTTCTAATCATGATTTTGAAGTTTCTATGAAGTGACGACGTGTTTAAAATGGTACCAGAATAATTCAGTTATCTTACGTTTAAACAAGTAACTGTATAATTTAGTATTAAATTATAGCTTTCAAAATTTACTACAATGTCATATTTTGTACAATAATAGAATATGTCCTCTGAGATGATCAATGTATGATCTTGTTGTAGCTAAGATATTTTGGGTTCAAAATTGGCCTATTACGATAGATGGACGCAGCCCATTTTAAGCTTAAAGCTTTCTAAAAGGCCAGAGCCCATCTTTGCAGTGGGGACGGAGTTCAGTGGCCTTAGAAACAAACAAGTCTCTCAAATAAATAATGTGGAGGAAATCTCTTTGTTTGTTTTTTAGGGCCTGTTTGGTTATTTCCTAAAACACCAAGGAATAGAAATGAAAACCAAGAAAACTCAAAAAGTACAATTTCATCTATTTTTATCCCTAAAACCCACCTACAATATTATTTTTATCCAACAACTCATCCATCATATCTAATAAAATATTATTTTCATCCAACAACTCATCCACCACATCCACCACATCTAATAAAATATTATTTTCATCCAACAACTCATCCATCACATCTAATAAAATATTATTTTTATCCACAACATCACTCAACTCATCTCATCTCATCATTTCAAATCACTCACATCATCCAATAAGATGGTGACAACTCATCTCATCTCATTAATATTTCATTTCCACCAATTTCCTCCAAAAAAACTAGGAAAACAATTTCCTTAAGTATGGGTCACATCATCCAATAATATAATGACAACTCATCTCATCTCATCTATTTTCTTATTTTTAAGAATGAACCAAATAAAAAAAAACAACCTATTACAAGAAATAGGTTTCTTATAATTAATTTCCTTATTTCTTTCGTCAACCAAACAACATCAAAACAAGTTTTTTTTAAAAATCACTCACATCATCCTATAATAAGGTGACAACTCGTCTCATCTCATCTCCATTTCTTTGATTTCCTTCTTTTTTTAGCAAACCAAACACTCCCAAAACAGTTCTTCTTAGAAATAGTTTTCCATTTCTTTGATTTCCCACTTTTTTTAGGCAAACAATTCTTCTTAAGATGAATTCATAAATGGGGAGGAAATTAGGCAAAGAGAATCTTGAGTAGGTCTCCTTAAATAAATAAATAAATAAATTATAAATGAATAAATGAATAGAATAGTTAGTCCCTTCACAGTTCGCCAACCAAAACGCCTGATCTGAGGCTTCGCCGGCACTGTTGACGAAATTAAATTAACACGCCTCTCTTTATTAATTATTATTCGGTTAATTACTCATCAGTGGAAAAATCAAAAGAGGCCAAGATCTCTAATCACCTCTCTCCTCTCTCGCCGATCTAATCTCGTTCTCACCGGTAATTTCTCTTTTCTAATTTCGATTTCCTTAGTTGCATCAATTTATCATCTTTTTTCTGTAATTTCGTA